ATAGATCCAAGATCATCAAACATAAATGGTAATGAAAATATATGACATGTACCAGTAAGATCTAGATAGTTTACAATACATTCTATTTGTTGTTGACATTTTATGTTAATAAATGTTTGTTGAATATCATCTTTTGATAAATGATTAACTAATGGATCAATTCGAATATCAGTACAAAAACAAAAATTAAATGTATGAAGTTGTGGCATATGAATAAGAATTTTATTATAAATATGATTACCATCAATAAATGTAGTTCTACTGTCAATAGTAAGATATAAAGTTAATTCTTCAAGATTTGACATATAATGAAAAAGAGGTAATATTTGAATATCATATTCATTAGATAAACCATAACATTGTAAAGAAAAACATTTTAAATTACGTAGATTATCCTAGAAAATAAAAATCAATATTCATAATTATATTATTATCGATTAAAATAAGAAGAAATTCAGATAAATAATTCATTGAAATTCTCTTTTCTTATTTAATTTATTTTTAAATATTTCTTGTATTCTATAATATATATCTACTACAATAATAACTAAGATAATTATATTGTATTTCTAAACTTTAATCTACACTGAGAGAATTCAAAAACTTTTGATCAACATTATGTTTATAGTTATATATGAGAAAAATATTTTTTGTATAGAAAACAAATCATATACATGGTATTTCTTCAATTTAATCACAGTGGTCTCACCCTGCCTCAGCGATTCATGTGTAAATTATACTAATCAGTGTGCAATGTTGTGATTAAATTAGAGAAGAATCCAATCGATTTATTTCTTTAAATCTACTCATAGGCATAAAATGCCTACTAATTATTAAGATCATATGAGATACAAAATTAATTATATTTATTCATCAAATAGATGAATAATCATTTTACAACTATTTAGTTATAGTTGATTTAAATAAATACTAATTTATTTAGAAAAAAAAATCTATCTATAATAGTCTAAAAATATTTATAACTATAATCATTAGTATTTTCTTTTTAAATTGTAAAAAGATTAATCTAATAAAATCTAAACATACCATATTGTAAATATGTGATGAATCATATTTCATATCAGTAATAACAACAATTAATGTAGTTAATTGTTTAAGATGACCATCAACTAAAGCAAGAAAATCATCATAATACATAACATGAATAGATAATTTGGAAAGTGTTGAAGAAAAAAAAGTAGTTAATGGTCGATTACGAAATATCAATGGTAAATAATAATAAGGAAATGATCGAATAATAGATAAATGTTTTAAATTTTCAAAGAATTTTAAAATATATCCATAAATATCTATTGTATAGTATTTAATTGTAATTTCATTAAAATCATCTTTGAATACAAGAATAAGATCTGTTATTTGTCGTTGAAATATATGTCGAAATGATGATTCAACTAAAAAATAAAAAATAAAAAATATTATCTAATCTATCTATATAATAGTACCTGTAAAATAATGTGAAACAAATTTATCATTAAAATTAAATAATTTAAGTTCAGTTAAATTAGGATAATTACCAGTAAGAAGAATACGTTCCATATATATTGAATCAACAGTAAGAGATTTAACATTATAATGAATTTTTGGTAATATATTTATACAAAATTGATCAATTATTGGGTCAGCAAGTGATAAAATATCATCAGTTAATGTTGTTAATACAAAATTGAGAGTATTAGTAAAAATACTTTCTTGTAAAAGAATATCAAGTCGTTGTTTATCAACATCAAATAATGAATAAAGAACATCCATATTGTTTAATTTTTTTAAAATAATAAATAATATTTCATTAGGTAGATTCAGAAGATTAATTTTAGATTGATTCATGTTAGATTTGACAAATGCTTTTCTTATTATTTTGCATATATATATATATGTTCATTATTGATTTGTATTCATTGTTGTCATTGAACAAAATGAATGAATGACCTCACTGAATAGTCCAATTAATCTATGGATGAACATTTGTCTTTTTTTTTCTTTCTTTTCTTTCGTTTATCTGTTCTGTGATATTATTTTCATTTATACGATATCGAAAAAAAGATGTTCAGAAAAAAAAAGAAAAATAATATTTCACATAGACAAAAAAAAACATGATTGAATTTTCTTCAAAAATATTGATTGTAAAAAAAAGGAAGACACAAGTCGAACGTTATCAGTAGTGAACAGGCATAGCTATTTAGTTGGAGAGGAAAATTATATTCTGGACTTTAAAAAAGTCAGGATAGATTTAATGATTTTTCGTACTTTAGCCGAAAATCCAATTCCTCTTTGGCTACAGATCACATCTTCACTCTCATTACCATACAGTATATACGTGTAGCAATGTAACCAAAGGAGAGCCAGGAGGAGCTTAGGCCTACCATCGAACTTCTGATCCCTATCACTCTCAGTTGCAAGTAATAGAATTTTAAACCGAAACCAATGAAAATCATTCAGAACGTCATGGTTTGAATAATCAGTTATCGACGATATATATGTAGTTTCACACTGAAAATAACTGAATAGAAATAAATCGATTAATGATGATATGCTCATGATTTTATATCAATTACAATCATCTATTCTCTTACAAGTAGATTATTAATTGTTCTAATCAATCTATACATCAGAAATGTTTACATTGATCGTATATAATTGCATTCTTAGAAATAATGTTTGAATAATTGAAGAAATAGCAAGACGACTTTGCCTTGATTTATTTAATAGAAAAATGATTTTTTTCTGTATCAATGAGGGCGTGACAAATTTCAAATTATAACTAGTTTTCAATAAATCTCTGATCGCTAATATCTGATTCTTGATAAAGATATCAGATATTTGCTTCCGTACATAATTCAGAATCTCAGCAGAAAGTAGATGTCATATATTTACTCACACTATACAGTATTGAAATTACCAGAAAAGTAGATATCAGATATTTACAGTAGTCGCCATAAGTGGCCGCGAGCTCTTTTTTTTCTCCAACAATGACTTTTATTTCATCTTTTTGCTTTGTTTGGACGGGCTAGTTGGGCTCATCATCCGGTATAAATAGGAACATTTATATTCATTCTGTTATCAATTTATAACTCAATAGAAAATGAGCCTTTTTTTAAAGAAAAGACAAGAAATTATCTTTCTATAAAGGCAAAGCTATTCCCCACATATGTCAAATGGTAATATTCCACAGTATCTATACGAATCAGTAAGTAATTGTAAAATGTAGGCTTAGAAGGTATGAAATAGCTGGTGACGTATAAATTGTACAAAAACCCGGTCTATACAGGAAAAACAATACACAACAATTCAATCCATGGTAGCTCAACATTCAATAGAATCTGTCGGTCAAATTGCGTTTAGATTATCACAAAAAGATATAAAAATTAGTAAAACCACATCAAGAAGAAGATTTAAAGAGACCGATGTACATTCAATGAGACCGATCTCGAAACCACTGCTAACAAGTGACGATGTTTTAAAAAAGACCCCAGCAGGATATAAAACTGAAAGACTTTAACCCAACTGAAGATGTCTAGGCATTAGTGGAGCTCAGAATAAAAAAAGAACCGTATATATCGATCAATAATTTCATTGAGAGAATAAAAAAAAGAATGGAGAAACTTAGCTATTGAATTTGTTGAAAAATTAGGCGATTCTATGGAAAATAGAGTAGCATTGTTAATTGAAAGAAAAAGCCATTATATTAATTATGAGGATGATGCACATATAATGTAAGTTTCATAAATAAAATATGACCAAATAACTCCTTTGTCTTCCTCGTTTTTTCAATCGCGCCCACTTATCGCGATTACTGTACTTATACTATACATTTCTGAGAACTCACCAGACAAGCAGATATCAGATATTTACTCACACTATACAGTATTGAAATTATCAGAAAAGTAGATATCAGATATTTACTTACACTATACATTTCTGAGAAACCTTAGAAAGCAGAAATAAACCCATACTATATATATTTCTAGATTTCAGAAATATGAGTGTTAAATATCTAATTGCTGCTTTCCGATAATATCTCGGAAATATATAGTGTGAGTAAATGATTTGATGCTTCCTATTATTTTCTCGGAAACTCAATTAATTTCCTAGTTACTTAGAGGAAATCTTTTATGAGCGTAATCGCCATAATGTGAAATCAAACCAGTTTTCCGGACACCAAATCAGTTGCCTTGAATCGAAATAAATGTCGTTACGCTTATTTCGCATACATAAAAGCGCCAGAGATATTTGTGCATGTGTTTCTACCCTCACCCTCAGCGAGAGAGATGCTCTGTATGTGTTTTGTCGCGTGAGTCTGCGTTTTCGTCCTCACTCTCAGCGAGAGAGATGTCCTGTATGTCTTTTCGCGTGGGTCTGTCTTTCCGCCTTCACCCTCACCCTCAAGATATGGAAGGTCATTTGATTTTAGGAGACTGATTTGATTTCCAGAAACTCATTTTGATTTCCAGAAACTCATTTTGATTTCCGGAAAGTCATAGAGTTTCCTGGAAACTAATACAAGGCATCATATGGAGTAAATATCTGATATTTGCTTGTCTGTGGCTTCTCAGAAATCTGTAGTGTGAGTGAATATCTGATATCTGCTTGTCTGATGGTTTCTCAGAAATCTATAGTGTGAGTAAATATCTGATATCTGCTTATCTGGCGGGAATTCTGAATTATACATGAACACCCATACTGTCTCTACTGTGAATCAAACATACATGTGCTAATCAAGATTATCTTCGTTTTTCTTTTCCGGCGGTACAAAATTTTTCGATAGGCTTTTATCTTATTGGAATGAACAGGAAACCTTCAATTCAGACAAATTAGACATCTACAATTTTTCAACTTAAACTACTCGACTTGTTATCAAATTGAGTACATATACATATCATATGAAGTAGCTATTGTATTTGCAGATAATAGTACGTAAACGTTGAATATCAATATCTTGTAAAATTGATTCAGAATTTTTAATAAATCAAAGAAATATATTTTTAAATAGGTTCATCACAATTAGTTTTCTCTCGAGAATTTATTAAATAAATTAATTCAAATATTGATTCAATTGGATCTTTCGTTGAAGTTTTTGATTGTTGTGATGATGTTTGAGAGGATTTTATTGATCGATCCAATTGTTGAAAATAATACTCCATACAATGACAAACAGCAGTAGTCATTGCTAAAAACATATTCAATATAAAGAAGAGAACATATTGGGTCATTAAATCGAGATCCGTATTGTCATATATCTAAGATAAACATTTTTTATCACAATGCCTACTATTTTTCAATTGATCAATTAAAAGTTTGAATAAAATTCATATTCGATATTTTTAAATCTAAACAACTGTCATGATTCAGTCTAATAGATACACCTCTATTTATTTGTATGAAAATAAAAAGTAACAAAATATTTTGTTTTTTTTGTTTTACTTCATCTAGTATGGTATATGGTTATCAAACGCTGCTATAAAAATCAAATTGTTGCTTTAGTGTTCCTGACTTTTATAGTGGAAATACGACTCTGGAGAAACTATCATTAGATTAACAGCTATGTCCAATGTGGATCCTCGTTCTCTTCAACGTCAAGTGCAAACATTCCTATCTTTTTACTATTTGTAACTGTTTATATTAAGTACAAAATCCACTTATTACAGTTAACGTAAGACATGCCATGGACGCAGAAAATGTCCTCGAAGTAGCGATTTTTGAATAAAAATCAGCAGTACATCGAATGTTTATTGCTCAATAGTATTCAAAATATAAAATCTAATAGCAGAATCATGTTCAACAGTCAATCTATATATATTTGGGAATGGTCGAACAACTTTTATTGTTGTCCAAAAATTCAATCCTGGTCTCGAAGCTAAATCCGACTTAACGAGTACTGCTCTGAAAAGAGAACGAATTATAATTTGATTCTTATGAGATTATGATTAATATTGCTTGAGAAATGGCACGGATGTGTTTCAAAGTACCTTAAAAACTTCAATGAATGTCAAGAGTACGATTTAATTTCGAGTCCAAAAAATTTGAATCCGATGGCTTCGATTCTTATATATATGTCAAAAAATATATTTCCCTCAAAAGATCATCTTGACTATAACAAATTCTTAACCTCCAATATTATCATTAAGTACATAACAAAATCTGTCGAAATAACAAATACAACATGCTGAATAAGCTTTTTTTTCTGGCATACTTCTGAAGAGAACTAATACTATATTTTTGGACGAATATATTAGTTATTCAATAACTATGAAATATACATAGATCAACTACTGAACACGATTCTAGTATTACATTTTTTATTTTGAGTACTAATGAACAACAAATACTCGAAACACTATTGATTTTTACTTAAAAGTACTCTTTGAGGACATTTTGTGCATGCATGGCATGTATTTCTCTAATGTTTTCTTAGCTACAATCACTATACCTTGTAGTTAATGTAAAGAACTACAAATGATAAAAAGATGGTAATGTTTGCTCTTGCCATTGAAGAGAATGAAGATTTGTATTGAATGTGTTTGACATTCTAATGATGGTTTCTAGGGATCGTATTTCGACTACAAAAGTCAGAAGAACTAAAACAAAAAACTTGATTTTTATAGCAGTGTTAGGTGATCATATGATCCACTAGATGAAACAAAAAGAAAGCCTGTTTTTTTTGTTGTTGTAGTTTTTATATAAGTAGAGGCACTGTCAGACTAGATCATAGCAGCAGTTTAGGTCCAAAACTATTGAATACTGGTTGTGTTGGAAGTTTTTATTTATCCATCAAAAAATAGTCAGTATCGTCAGAGAAAATGTTTATCTCAGGCAAAAGACAATAAGAGTCTCGATTTAAAAAGTCAGATGAGTCATTTGACGACCAAATATGCTTTCCTTTTTTCCATTACTTAATTGAAGACATTGGCTTAAAATTTCTCCATTTGGCATATTTATCTCTTGTTTAAGTTCAGCAAAACTCAAACTATTCGCAAGAATAAATAAATCAGTTAAACTCATAACATGTTTTAATATTTTAAGTGCATTCAATTGTGATAAATCTTCCATATTTTCTAATATTTCAATTTCATGCTAAAGATAAACAGAACAAACTTCAAATTAAAAATAAAAACAAATTTCAACGACGATTTACTGATGCAGATATTGCATTGGCAAGTAATGGTAAAAGACCACCACATAGATTACATAAAACATTAGTCCTTTGAGATATAATATGTGCAACATTAATACAAAAGATTTGATTTTCTGAGTTATTAATTGCATCAATAATTGGTTTGATTGTATCACTAGAAATTAAAAAATTATTGATTAATTTTATTCAAAATTGAAAACATACAATCTTCATACGTGAATATCAGTTTCGATTGAATCGAATACACTGTGTAAAAGATGAATACGTATTGAAGAATATTTAAATCCAGATATGATAAATGGTAATAATTGATTAGTTTTATTGAATACTTGACGACTCGAGATGAATTCTTGGTAGACAAAAAGAAAATTATTTTCTGATTATAATAGATTCGTGAGGTTTCTATCACAAGCTTTCTTTTTCTTATTTTGATACTCTATTTAAACATATCATTGTCAAAAACTTTCTTTCACATAATCTATGTCATTTTTCAGAAATCAAGTTACTATATTTATCGTTGAATATTTCGATAAGGTGTCAAATTGTATCAAAATAAGATACAATTTTCAGCTTTTTTTATAGATTAAACAAGATCAAAAATAAAAGCTATAATTATATTCGAGTTCTTCATGAAAAACCGTATCACACATAGATACCAATCACAGCTAGAAATCTGTCATTGTCACATTGATTTTCGAGACATTCTCAAAAAATCTCTTTCGTCACTGTACTAAATAAGCACAGTTAGATGGAATCGGTCAAATTCACTAAGAATCTGTTTGTTGATCTTGTAGACATTTAAATTCATAGCAAATTCATGCGATTTTAGAATTTTTATAAAAAGAAGGATGCCAGCATTTCACCGCTATTGCCATGAACATCTCTGCTATCTCACACTATGTCAAGGAATTCGAATTTTTTGGAAGATTAGAGATCTAAGATAGCTTTGGGTGTGGGTGTGGGTATTAGTAGAGAGAACACCCACACCCACACCCACACCCACACCCACACCCGTTTCGAGCTTTTAGTATTCTCTATTCATATCACGAAGTACTTGTCTAGAATCTTCTCAACAACAAAATACAAATCCATTGTCAGTTGTACAAAAAACTAAAAAATGTTATTGTGTACTCAAAAAGTGAGTACACTACTAGAATCGGTCAGTGTGTCCGGCCGTCCGTCCGTATACACGATAACTTTCGAAAGGAGAGTCAGATCGTGATGAAATTTTCTACACAGTCCAGTCTCATCAATGTCTCAGTCGAGTTCGAAGATGAGCCTGATTGGACGAGCTCTTCCAGAGTTATTGCAAAAATAGTCATTTTTCCCTATAGCTTCCTATGCGAAGATCGACCCATCTTGGCTTTCGTAAACAACTTTTCCTATCATAGTCAAATAAAACCCCAACTATTATATACCTTTCGATAGAGAATTTCACGAGCTACAAAATGGTATATAAAACATAAAGTAACAAGAAGGCTAACTCACCTATTACAAAGATAATTAAAGGGAAATGGGTTCCGTTTTTGTCCACGATCTAATTGACTCACAATTCGAGCTCTATCTTACGATCATAGAGTTGATACTTTGAGGTTTTCTGGGGCGGAGAACTTGAATCCGTACTCCACTTGCCTCGAAATATTATTGGTTGAGCAGTGACCAATAGAAATCAAATTATAGAAAAAAACGGCTTTCTTAGGGTTAATCAAGGCGAAAAGTTCAAATTGGAGCTCTATTCGCCCCCAAGCCCTATTGATGGGCCAATAGCCATCAGAAATAAACAGTTTATAGGAAAGGTTTCCCAGTATAATTTTGATATCCACACATTCTAGGATGACTCATCTGTCTAATTCACTTTTTGAAGTACACATAACTCTCGGATTTAAATCCGAAGTTTCCGCATTTATTTTTTTATTATGAATAAAACATGGACTTTCGGCAAATAGAGCACACTAAATCTCGTGGCTTCGGCATGATGAGTCGAGCAGAAAATCTGATACAACAATAGCGTTGTGAGGACTTTACAGAAGTTTCCTTCAAAATCAAATGACTTCTGGTCTTATAATGTGAAAATAACCTTAAGATAGTCAACAACTTCTATAAGGATTAAAGATTAGGATCCGAAACAGTGTATGCAGATCAGGATTGAAGTTTATTGTTATGTATGAATGACATATATTCAAGAATTATTATGAGGCATGCAAATGAGATATCCTTTATCTAAATAGACTTTGGTTGTTTTAACCGAAGGAAAGCAATTACCTTTCTTCTGATCGACTACAATTAATTAGAATTTTTCGCTCGCGTGAATTTTCATAGCATTAAATATGAACTGTGACATGAAGTGAAATTATTTTAAGTCTGTTTCTATTTCAACTAAATATTCTCCCTTGTATGAAATGCTCAAGATTTTCTAAATTCGTATGATTCTTTTAGATTGCAAATTCATGTCCTGTATTAAAGTTCACACATGCTTCATGAATTAAAGATCTTTCAAGCCTTTCTTCCAGCAGTATTTCTGATGATATATCTAATATAATTCTTCAAAACGAAAAGAGCATGTCTTCTTTTTTTAAGTTGAAACTTTACAATCAGCAAATAAAGACCATTATTGAATAATTATAAAATTAGCCTAATAATGGAGAAATATATGTGAAATTTTATTCAAAAATCCTTGTAAATACGAAATATATACTTCCATGAATTAAACAAATCTCAACTGTTAAATCTCATAGACTCAAATAACATCGACATAATAACACAATTGATAATGCATCCAGGAATTCCAGAGAAATTAAATTTGAGAGAATCTAAATATGTCTGTATTCAAATTTATTATGTTTGAATGTAAAACATTATTTACTTCACTATGTGATGTATGCGAAACCATAATCTACAATATTTAATAATTCGTTTTCCTTTTTATCATATCTTCGTGTACGGCCCGCTTCTTTACGTTACTTAGCTGCTTAACGAGAGCAAAGCCAATGAAATTCATAATACTCCTGATGTCGCTGGTGCATAATATATAGAAAATTAAAAAGAAAAAATGTCCACCTCAAAAATATTTTATAAAAATTTTGTAATATATACGTAACTTTTCTGTGCCATTATTTTTTTTATTGGAACAATTTACAAAATGACCTCAACAAGTGCATCAATGAATTCGTTTTAGAAATGATGCAGTGAGACATCGACATCAGCTAGTAGATCATTACATTTTTTTCGCCAGACAACGTACTATATCAATTATTATTATATGACATATATTAGACAAGTAAGAAAAAGCAATAACAACATTCTTTCTATCATACATTCATTTATTGTCAATTCTGACTATAAAAAAATTCATTCTTGTTTATATTGACGATATCGGTCAAATAGAACAGACGAGTGTATGCATATAAATACTGACCTTCGTAAGTTGAAAAAGAATATATAAGTGAAAATAAACATGGAACATTCATGGGTTGGATTGAATGATTTACCTGATGAAATTCTTATGATTAATTCCCAAAAATCAGTGTCGAATTCTAGACATTCAAATTCATTTGCCTTTTCTCCCCAGTCAGATATTATTGGTAAAATCAGCCGACAATTACATGCGATGGTAAATTCCGCTTTCCAGGAAATTCAAAAAAATGACTATAGAAGAAATTTCATAGAAATTTAATTGAATGTTTTAAAGATAATCATAGCGAACTCGCGTTATAAAAAGGAATATCGAAAAAAGTTTAAGTTTAAGTTAGAGTTTAGTTGGGTTGGGTTGGGTTGGGTTGGGTTGGGTCGGGTTGGGTTGGGATGGGCTGGGTGTGGGTGTGGGTGTAGGTGTGAGTGTGGGTGTGGGTGTGGGGTGTGACTTAAAAGACAACAACACCCACATCCACACCCACTCACATCCACCCGCAACCCATCCCATCCCATCCCATACAATCTCAACCCAACCCAACCCAACCCAATACAACCCAACCCAATACAACCCATAGCATACTTTTCTTGAAATCATTCTTCACTTGAGGTGCAGTCAAATTTGAATTTCCAGGAAAGCGGAATTTACCATGCCCTCGACAATTACAAAAATTAAATGTTGGTATGAGTCAGCTCAATGATGGCATGACAAAACTTAATGATAGTATGGTTAAACTTACCGATGGTATGATAACACTTAATGATGGGATGGTTAAGCTTAATGATGGTATGACAAAACTTAATGATAGTATGGTTAAACTTACCGATGGTATGATAACACTTAATGATGGGATGGTTAAGCTTAATAATGGTATGACAAAACTTAATGATGGAATGTTGAAATTGAATGATCAAAATAAATTATTAATTCAAATAACATTACCATTCATCGGGAATTAATTTAACTGGACATTAAAAACTTAAATCTTTTTTTTTCATTTTAGATTGTTGGCACCATGTCGTTTCTTATGAAAAAATGATTTTTTTTGTTGTTTGTGGTTTAGCGTCACTTGTTTTTTTTTCATTTGTTAAACAAATAAACAATAAAAGCTTTATAAAGCTCGTCTTCAGAAACATTTCTTAATGATCTAAAGAAGCAAAACCAATCAATTCTGAAAACATCTACTGAAATGATCGCGGTTCATTTGCAGAAGAGACATAAGTTCCTTTCGTATATGAAAGACTTTAAGATAGTTAACAAAACCATCTAGAACAATTACGATTAGTTCTAAGTCTCAAAATATTTTGGCAAACAGCTACTTAATACCAAGCTGTATTTAAGGATCTTCTGCACTAGCTAATGAATGTTCATGGCTATCTAACTCTAGGACGCTTTTTGTAGATCCAGGTGGACCCACAACACTATTTTTCATCTCCTGCTAGGTCGGTACTTTAGCACCTTCAAATCAAATAAATGGACTACCTAGTTCGACTGGATACCCAAAGTCATTAAAAGCCAAACTGTTTAGCACCTAGTTCACCAATTAAGACGGAACAGGTGCATACCTAATCTATGTGTTTGCTTGATATCACTTGCTGGATTTTTCAACTATTAGAGATCCATCGAATAATTTTACTAGGTAAAAATATTTTCATCACTTCAAAACCAAATATATGGTGACTGAATTCAATTCTATCACATTCATTGGCATTTTCACAATGACAGTGAATTGAGCATCTTTGCAATGTTTCATTTGTTCCAATCAAACGTTGATTAATGTTTTTCGATGGAGAATTAATTCGTCTAGTGAACAAATTTTCTTTCATGATGAGTATGTAGATTTTATCGACCGTTGTGATAAAAGTACAAATAAACCTTATCAGCTAACAATTATTCCTCTCCCGTTTATATATAAAAGACAAATGTTTTATTGTATGATGATTCCACCATATCATGACCACTCTCTACTGTCATCATCGCTCGCAAAGATTTCGGATAATAGTGCAAATAAAGATGTTGATTCTGAACTACCTGTCTTGTCCTCAAACCAAACGGAATCTACTGTGAATCAATGCAAAAAATGATTGAATGTATTTATTGTCATACGTAGTATGGGGACCATTCTACATACAAAATGCTCCATTTCGTGCTAAGATTTCATCGGTGCATGCTCTTAGTGTCCTACTTATCATCAAAGGTCGTGTCTTCGGTTTGGACATTCGTCAACCTTTACCTTTTGTCTACATAGACATAAGGCACGTGTCGCTGGAAGCGCAGTATGATTATCACGAAGCTGATCCCAATATCAAGTATGAATACAAATAAGAATGAACTCAGTACACATGGTCTTTCGTCTCACTTTGATTATCGAGCTCGTATAATTACAGACGAGCAAGGTCGATATGAATTTGAAACAGTAAAAACGGTACTTTATTTTGATCTAGATCCCTAGGGAAAATCTTTGCTATTTCAGCGCCAGATCCTTGACAGATATGTTAAAGATTTTGCAAGGATTCGCTCTTTTTTCCTGAGAAAACTGCGAAATCCTGAAAGAAGCTTGTAGCCATGGTTTTTCAGGATTCTGTCAGGATTTGACTAGGTTTTCTCGAAGATGTTATCAAAGAAGAGAGGTGCATTAGACCACAAATCGGCCCCTTCCTACTTTTTTTCGACATACCATTCAGGAAACTACATCGATCGATAGAATTCAGCACGGCGAACATTTTGGTGCTATTTTTGGTGTACCTCAAGAGTATTTTTATGAGTCATTTTGAGGCTTCTTAGTATTGGCATTTTTCTGCTTTTTTATTGATACCTACTTTCTAGATCATGGACCATATCGCAAGAAAATCAAAATACCATATCGTGATTTTTTTTATGGCTTAGTCTCATTTTAAATACTTTTTCGTTGATGTTACCTTGAGAAAGAAAATAAACAAATCTTAGAAGTTTTTTTAAAATTAGTCATTTTTATTTATTCAGGACGAATTGTTTATGAGTAATAAATATATAATTATTTTTCTAACAAATTCATGATCACCAAAAAAAAAAAATGATAAAAATTTATAAGTTACAAAATATTGTTTTCTTCCTATGTCTATAGTTTATTTTCTACTCTAAAGTTAAGTAATTCAGACAGATATTATCTAAGCCTTGTAGATTATTTTGTTTCTAAAATTCAAGTTACTACTCTTTAGTTTCTTTTCAACTACCAATTTTTCAAAAGTCAAGCAAAACTTATTCTATAGTTGGTAATCATGTAAGCACTCAAATAAGATTTTTATTTTACTTCTCTATTGTTTGTTTTCTACTCGAAAGTTAGAATATTCACACTTATTTTCTTTCTAATGTTCGTAAAATGTTAATTTAATTTAAACTAAAGTCATAGCTCTATTTGTTTTTCTCATCACTAACTAAAGAATAATTAAGCAGAAACTATCCTATAGTTGATATAAATGTTATTATCAAAATTAGAATCTATTTTATTCGTCTATATTTTGTTTTCATCTCCAAAGTTAGGATCTTTAAGCAAAATTCTATTCTAACCTTTGTAATATTTCTTTTATCAAAAATCAAAATCCCTGCTCCATGGTTTATTTTTCTTTATCAACTTTTGAATAATTATAGAAAAAATTATCCTATAGTTGGTAACCATGTGGCTATTTATTTCAATCTTTTATTAAGGCGACTGACTGCACGAAGTACAGTCTGTCGACTTATTGTTTTTCACTCGCTTAGTTGCCATAGTAAATTCTTCTTCTTCCTCTTCTCAACATATGAGTCACGATTCAGGTCTGCCACTCGTTCTCAGCTTCTGAGCATCATTTTCAGTCGAAAAAAAGCTTGACGAGATCCTCAGAATGTGACGAGTGCACATCTGAAATCCATTTTTCGAAATTTGATGCCGTTCGAGAGATATAAATAATGTCAAAGATGATAATTAACAGCTGATAGTTTCCTTATATGGTTATACATGACTCAGTTTTAAAAGACCATTCATTACTCAGATCCTGTGTGCATATATACTTTAATTATTGTTTTGCATAGCTTAAATGCATCCATGAAGGAGTCTCAAACGTTTAGAAAAATCTCTGCATGGTGTGGGTGTGGGTGTGGGTGTGGGTGTGTCTTTTACCGTCATATTCACACCAATACCCACATCCACATCCACATCCACACACCCACATTCACACCTACACCCGCAAAGTAGGCGTTATTATACAAGTAAAAATCAAACTTTTAGTTAAAACCCAGTTGACAACAATACAATCAAAAGCACATGCTCTTGTGTACTTGATATTTTAAAATTTTTTTCAAAAACACTGCTCAGTTAAACTCTCATTACATTGAGGTTAATTTCTTCTCTAATAAAAACAGAAGTACATAGGCTATACTTCTGTCTCATTTAGTAACAATTGTTCTTGATGTTATGTTCACTACATAAAGAACTCTAATAGAACTAAAGTTGTAAACTGCTGAATTTAACACATCTAATGAATCTAAACGCGACTATTGAAACTCTTTATTTGAAGGATGTTAGTATTGTTGATGAATATTGTTCAGTAGAACATTGGTATTTGTCATAGTTCTGATTTAATTAATACTTATTCATGATGGTGATTATGATTGTTCGAATATTTATTCACTCACATAGATGATCGAAATATACATTTTTTTAATATATAAAAAAATTTGATGTTTGAATCAACAAATAAATTGTTGATGTCTAAACTCGTTTGCTGCATTTTATTTATTTTTTAGTCTGTTGACAGTTTCTAATTCTGAAGATAACATTTTTTTTCTATTTGGTTGTGATTAATTAATACAGTAGTCATTGTAAGTACCACTAGCAGATGAAAACTATTTAAATCTCGACTTCAAATGGTCGAAGTTTAAATAGTTTTCATCTATAGTAAATAGAAAATAATTTCTGTCGTTTTGTCATCATTTTTAATGTGAAAAAATGAGAAATTTTATATGGAAGAAAAAGAAAACGATGCTGCATTCTCAATGGTAAGCAGATGTATTCTTTTGCTGAATGAATCAAATACATTCTCATTGATTCTGAAAAAAAATTATTATATTTACGTTTTATTACACATTAATATATCTTCTATACTATCTTTAAAAATTCTCTGCAGTTCTCGATTATCTTACACTTATTTACCATAGGGAGAATTCACTTTCAATTCAATATTGGGATTGTACAAAAGGGACTGATCGAAAACAGAAATGCTACCATGATCTGAAGATCTCAATATGTACATCTTTGTTATAGACTTAATGATTTGTATTGAAGGAAAAAGATGGTCATCGCACTGAAAATTCAATTCAAACTACATCCTCAGAGTGCGTCCCTTGGGTTACATTTTTATGTGGCATCCATTGTGTCGAATTTTGTAACGTATTTTATCTTAGTCTATATGTGTTGTTACAGGACATGAAATTTTCAACATTTATTTCCTATTATTATAAGGGTGTAGGTGTGGGTGTGATTAGAGAAGAGATAAACATTCACACCCACACCCTGCTAGTTCTTGTTGTAATGGTTGGATTTCTTTTCGAAGAAAACGCGTACTCATAGATTGAAGATACTGAAATCAAAGTGGGAACTGATTAAATAAATAATAATGCCGATGTAGATGGTCAAAAGAAATACATTGGAAAGACCTCAGCGACTTGTTAAAGTTGGTAGAGTCTGAGAATGATAGCGGATAAGTGCATTAGAAACATAATCAGGAATAATTGAATTAGTAATTAAATGAATAATCATCGTCTCATGATCAGTAATGACTTTCGTAGTGTAGGAGCATTAACATAACCGTCAGTTGCATCACATTTTATTCGCCTATTCATTTTGTTTGTCAATTATTAATAGAATATTACTACTATTTTCAATATGTGTTTCGGATACTGAATAGAACTATTGGGAAACCAATAATATAATTTAATGCTGTGA